CGAAACGAGCTCGCGGGGGAGATCGAAAGCCCTGGCAAAATATGAAATTCACGCCCCTTCAATGAACTTGACGGAATGAGTGCCGTGGACGTTGCGCACGAATTTTCCAGCGAAATTCCTTGTGGAAGAACAGCGAGTTCTTCAACCGCAATCGAGTCCGTGAGCACAGAGCGAAAGATTGGGATGATCGATGAAGACGGCTCTCGAACGGTCAGACCCCGAAAACTTGTTTGACATCGTTCGCTCGAAATGGTCCGTTGTACGCACCGAGTACGCGTTGTTCTCTTTCGCGTTCGTTCGCCCGACCGAATCTCGTGGCTACGAAATCTAGAGCGGCATCTCCACGACTTCAGGCTGGCAGCTCCTTCGGGGAAACCTTCTCGGCATCAAATTCTTGCCACGTGTGAGCTCGGAGTACAGTACGCTCGCTGATTAGGAGAAGGGTGAGCCCAAAGTGGCGTCGCAGACACCTGGTCTTTTCGGTGACCAAGAGACTGCTTGACCGGTTGATGCCACCGGGTTTGTTGAATTCGAGGGCTCGCCCTGTCCTGAATTAACGCGATGAATCTCGACCGACTGAGGCCGATGCCCTCGTCTGCCCATAAATCTACTCGCCTCTGATCGGATGCCAAAGAATCGCTGATACGCTTTGAGACGTGAAATTGTATCAGCTCGGGTGAACGTTTTGTTAGTAGGGCGACGGGGGTACAGTGAGTATGAACGCCTCATTCTTACGATCTTCGGACAACTTTTGAAACACTCGTTTCGGGTGACGCATCTCTCAGGGCATCGGGACGAAACACATCGCGATGGACCACTTCCAAAGCTGGGTCTCCGATCTTATTCGGAAATCTCGTTTCCTTCTTCTATGATTAGTCAACGCAATTCTTTAGCGCGTTAAAGACAACCATCCTGTCCACTTTTATCGGAAGCGTCACACAAACTTGTCGTCAGAAATGCGCATCGTCGCGGACGGCACGGGAGCCTATTGAGGAGAGGGGGGGACTTGCATCGCGCGAATGGGGAGGGGATTCCGAAGAAGCCCCCAACGACGTGTCAATTAGAACGGGGAACTCGCCCCGCTTCCCGCCCCCTTCCTCGCCGAGAATCGAGTTGTCACCCGGAATGACCTTGCTTCTCAAAACGCTCGACGCCGTCCGTCGAAGAGTTCGCCAACGCCTAGGACCGATGCGGTCAACAAACTCGTCGAGACCACATTTGAACTCGAGTCGAGAGCTCGAAATACCTACGAAGCGCAACGAAGGAACTCCGTTAAGAGTCGCTCGTTTCATGACTTGATTGATAACAGGAATCAACCGCCTCTCGACTTCAGATTGAGTGCGACGGCTCCTAAGAAGCGTCATCGAATTCCGGATGGATGTCTCATCAACACTCAAATTAAGACTCCGAATGTCTCGTCCGTCGGCTCGGGCTTGATTATTCGCTCCTCACAAGTTCGCGAAGAGAAATTAATATTGTCGTTCGACTTAGGCGGGCAGGCTTACGCGAACCGAGATCGCACTGCATCAGAGGGATTTTGAGACCCATGGTCACCGCGCACAAGCTCCGGCTCGTTCGGAGTGAATCGACCGCCGTTTCGAGAAGGAGCCGCGCGGAAACTGCGCTTCGGAACTGCCGACAGTCAGAACGCCCACGGTCCCAAGCTCTCTTCATTCGTGTCACTTTTCGCTTTTCAATCCAACGACGCATTTGCTCTCTTTCCTTCTATCACGTGGCTCCGGGTCGCCCCAAACACTATCCTTCGGCAATTCGGTTGCGTCGTACCGGTGAATTCGAGGAGGCGACTCGGTTGTCGATAAGAAAAATTTTCGTAAACAAAGCGCAGTATTCGGAAATGACGCTAGTGTACCGATTTCCAGCGATGCGCAGATGAACCGAGAAGGAAAAACAGAATTCAACGTAAACGTTCCGAATACCCCTAATGTGCCGGAGAAATAACTCCTAGGATGGGATTAGTTGCCGGACATAGCCAGTCGGGGGAAAGCAGTCTCTGATGAGGATTTTGTCCGACAACACCATCGTAATCGTAAGCTAAAACAACAGCGCCCAACCCTACTGGTGACCTTTCCCGCTTACTATCGATCGGAGAAGCATCGAGGCGGTCGTTGTCGGAGGTTCTAAGCAACGACCGGCCGCAGAGCACCTACGCATCATCGAATTCTCCGCTAAGAATGACGGCTTCTCATCGAGTTATGCTCGTATGTCTCTTTGCCTCGCCCGCGGTTGCGCCGAGCCCAGGTCAAGGCGACGACGCGGGCCGGGTGCAGACTTCCGTCGATTCCGCTGGTGGTCATCGCAGACGGGCCCAGACCTGCCTGTGGGCTCGGTTGCTGAACAATGATTAATCTCTCTCACGATGCTGAAACAATATGTACGGAGCCGTGAAAACTTTCTCTCCGCGCCTCGGACGATTTATCATCGAATAAGATTCAGCGACAGAGAACTTATTCCGAATGTAGGGTTTCGGTATTTGAATGCTCGGGCATATTCCTGATTTTCCGCTGAGTTTGTGAATTCCTCGGTCTTTGCATCAATATCTCGCTCTGACCGCGAGCCCTGTTTTGTCGGTGGTGGGGATAAACAACGCGGAACGTAACCTTTCGCTTCAGAAGCAACGCTCTATGTTTACGCTCTCCGGAAATATTCCCGTCCAGCTGACCGTACACCGCGCTGTGTCGTTTGGACTTAACGCCTCCGCGAAGTGTCCATGAATTTATTCCTCCTCATACTTCTCGCTAAGCCATCGGATATCCGATTGGTGCACAAAGGTCTTCCGAAGTCGAATGAGACGAAGGGACGATCCCGTGTCAAAGCCCCCGGCCTCATCCTATATGAGACCTCGTCTCTGAGATGCGCGTGCGGCAATCTGAGATTCGGATGCTCGCTCGTTGCGCTTATTCCGAAACTGGAGACGTGTAATTTCGGGCCCTCGACCGGATTGGATCCTGCGATTGATGTCAACAGGTTACATTCGTTTCTGTGGTCCCAGTAGACGAAGTCTAGTTTCGTATGACGCGCTTGAGGAGTTACAATCTGACGATTTGACTGAAATCCGTGGGCGTCGATAGCGCGGAGAGTCTTCAGGCCATTCGACGAGCGGTGCTCTTGTCTGTGCCAAGGTTCTGTCCCAGAAGTACGCGTCGATCTGGATGTCACTCGATGCTAGCTCACTAGCGCGGAACGACGGAGCTTCGGCGGCTCTGTGGGCTCCGTTCCCTGACCTTACCCCTTCCTCATCGTTCCTCCCAAAGATTCGAAAACGAAATAATGTCGATGATCGACCATCACAGTCCCGGCTCTCAACTCGGGGATGCGGGGGCTCGTCCTGCCTTCCACCTTGCGAGGTATGATGAACGCCTGAGATATACATATGAAGCGTTCCGCATCGCGAACTCCGAACAAGAATCGCTGGAGAGCGCCGAAATGATCTTGAGCCACAAAAAAAACACAGTGCAGTCCCTCCCTGATTTCCGGCTAAAAGAGATTCCATAAAAATTCGAAGTGATGTGATGATCGTGAGAGTTGACGATCTACTGGCGAACTCCTCAAACGTCGATCAGCGCATTGGACTCCACGTTCTCCTTCCGGCATCGACGGGAGCAATGCCACGGGAAGCGCGTCGAGAGAGTCGAGATAAAAGATTCGACGTATGTCCTCGTGCCACCGATGCATGATGCGGCAACAACGCGGAGAAGAGGGAGTGCTCCGCATCCCGTATCCCTTTTGCATCCCAATCTAACGCCCCGGTGGATGACCTCCCTGGTGATGGCATCTCGAGCTCATGGCCTATCGGAATTCTCTCCTGTCTACGAGGGAAGCAGAGGCAAGCGAATCGCTGAGTGTACGTCGTCTCACGTCTTTATGAAGCGGAAGACTACTTCCTCGTTCCTGGACTCTGGCTGGAGACTGGAGATCCGAGAATTCTTCCTGGGACTCCAGGGGTGGTGTCGAATACCCCTGGGATCGAAGAATGAAAGCGAGAGTGCAGCCTCATCTCGTCAAGCCGCGGTCTTCGGATTCGGGTAGCGATTGTTCCTGATCATGACGATTGAGTGCGTCGATAGATCGCGAATAGCAACCTTCCATACCGAAAAGTTCTCTCTCGGCGTCACAATGGGCTCAAGTATTCACCGGTGATCATCGTCGGCGGGGCTCGAATCCTCGATCCTCGACTCATTTCTCAATCAAGTCGAGAGAAAAGTATCCACCGTAGAGCCGGAACTGAAAGCAGAGAATTCTGTTGGAACTCGACCGTCGAACTCGCGGATCGTGAGGATCGATGGCGCTTGTCACATAGGCTGCACAGAAGTGACACTGGGAGCCGAAATACGGAAAACGGAGGGGTCGGTCACGGTGTTGAATATCTCTCCGCCCAGGTCTCATACGGGCGTCGATCCGCTTCATTGAACCTCATGAATGATCCTTATTGCGCCACAGGACGCTTTTCCCCACCGATCTAAAAGGATGTCTGAGCAGATTTTCCCCGAACAAATATGACATACTTCGCAATCTATAGGTAAGACAATCATCGGTTAGAATCGCCCGGACGAACACGTCCAGATTTTAAGTTTATTATTTTTTGGAAAAGCACGCTACTTCCTTCTTTTTTCTCTCTCGCCTCAATTTTTTTACATCTATTTCCATCCACAGCCGCCAGAAAGCCTCACGATAATAAATTAGGGCCTCGCTCTCCTCCCGATGTACATATATGTACATCAAACTATTTACAAAATGGCTTCGTTGACAACCGGAACTGGGACAGACTTCTCTTATTTACATACACTCTAGAGCCTCTCATACTGTGGCGTTGTTTGCTCCTGCGTTCCGCTATTGATAAACCTATTTTCGACATTTCATAAATCAATCGATCCGTCGTGGAGCCCATCTCGGAAGGATCATAGCCTCAGCATCAGTTAAACGCTCCATCCATTCATCAACAATGTTCACATATCATCGTCCGAATGATAACAAGCGGCCGACACATTCAACAGGGATAAAGACTCATAGCAAAATACTCAATCATTCTCCGGTCTCGAAAGCGATCGACCGTCCACGAGACAATTTCCCATCGGCTCAACTTTTCATCACAGTGTCTCGTTCAAGCGTACAGTCCACCGAGGGCATTTGGTGGAAAATCTCTCTGGCTCCGTGTAACCTCTCCAGTATGAAAGCAGCCGAACGTAGCGTTAAAAAATACAACCTAGCTGCGTGTCGCCCTTGGTTTTCTGGAGGGGCCACGTCGCGGAACTTCTTCATTCAGATTTTCGAACTCGTTCCCCCATCCGGGTGCTCAAATTCACACAGGGAGTCCGTATTTCTAAACGACTTCGAGTTTTCCCACAACGAGAAATAGTCGCCTAAATTATGCCGCAGGATTTCGCAGACCAAATGTTCTTATATTGAGACGGGGTCCTATGGTCGATTGAATAAAAACGACAAGCACTCCCATCGGGGCGGGTGTCGACATTGGAGGAGCGGGAACGATTTTTCGGGGAACTCCCAGGCTCCAACTGAGTTTTTCCGCAATCGATAGCCTCTCGAATCGAGTCGGGTTCCCGGCAAACATATTTTTGCTGGCGCCCGGCTCAGGTTCCATTCCCCAGTTTTCTGGTCCAGGTTCGAAATTTTAACGTTCTTTTTTCCTCCACTTTCACTTTTAGCTGAAGGGCGGTATTCCTCTCATGATGTCAGTCTCGGACATCCTCGGTGTCGGTTTCGCTATCCTGAGATGATGAAGACCGTGAAGGTCAGGCAGCGGTCAAGGAATTGGGTCTTTTCTGGGGCGTTCGGGGGGATCTCGGAGGAAGACGCAAGTAGCTTAAGATAGGACTGCCGAATACAGCTTGTAGTCCAGTAAGGAGTGTGTTGTGTCCCATCTCGAGGTCAGCGCCTAAGGGCTTCATCACGCTCAGAGCGACGGCCGCCTGGAAACAAGAAGATTCGATGTTGGTTGGATGACTAAGATGCGACGCAAAGTCTCGCGGAGATACCTGGCTCCGTTGTATACCTATCATCCGGAAGTCGTCGGCGATTCGTTTCACACATCGAGCGCTCGCATGACAAATGTCATGATTTCCGGGTTATCCGACTGAGCTACGTCAAGAGAGGATACTGATATACAGCTTCTGAAGACCTTGTGAGTCAAAGTGACCGGGCGGTTCCCGGAAGCATCGGCATTAATTCGACTTACGCCACTTAGAGGATCATTCGAACCGACATCCCTCATGAACTTGGGGAATCGAGAAGATGGTCTGCAGCAAATTCTCCTCAGAGCTTTATGAACCGATCGAGTTCGGAGTTATTTTCAGATTGTAATCTCTTCTAGAGTTTGGCACTTATTCAGCTGTGCCGTCTCTGCATTCTTCGCGGTGGTTCCGCGACCAGAGCAAGATTGAATGCTGGCGTTCTCGCCGTTCGCACGACACTACGATAGAAATTATAAGTGAAAAGCTAGTGTCGAAACTTTGTCTGCATTCGCTGTCTTGTCCTTACGCCTCGCTGTATCCAGCAGAGGCTCGTCGTATCATTGCAAGCCTAACCTCGTCATTTGCACTTCTACGACCCAGAGCTTTCCGTCCTCAGTTCGAAGCCGAACTTAGGCGCTCGAGGCGATCAGCGAAACGACCGAGAGGAGCTCCCGGCGCGACCGCGTCTGACTAGACGAGCGTACTCTGATCGTCTTTTAATGCCTGTGCGATTCCTACCGTGAAGTCAGCGAGCGTCGATGTACATTAGCCTCGAGCTGCGCGACCGCTCGTAGGAACAATGGGTCGGCATTGTGACGCACACAATAATTCAAAAAGCTTGTAGATGCTCCTTGTCGTTCAAGCTTGCGAGACGAAATCGACAGCCCGTGCCCCGAAAGATTTCATTCTTTCGCAATGATTTCATGAGAGTTCTTGTGAAGCTGCCAAGACAAACTTCATTACATGTAGGACTATGGAACCAGGAGATTGTTTAGATCGGGTGAGCGGTTCTCGCGCCCAATAATCTCCGGAGATCGGGGATTATGAGAAGCCAGAAGTCACTCTTGGGTAAAAAAACGCCAAGCATTCAGAGAGGACACCGAGAGCACAAAAATCGTTTCTGGGGTTGCGCCTTGATGGTTCTCTTGACGACACCGAGGCCCTCCATGGAGGGTGATCTCGGTGGGATAGTTGGATTCTCTCGTTCCGTATTCATGCGGGCTCAAGCTAACCTCGGAGGCTGACATTTTGAGTCAGATCCCATCCTGAATTCAATTTTCTGCGGCTTCTGCGTGGGAATAGAGCAAATTATGTTCCCGAAATACGCCGACTCTTTGAGTGAACGTCCCATGGCGGCAGGACGGATGTCGTTCCGAGTAGTCGATATCGAGGAGACGAGCAGCAAAGATTCTAGAACCGTGACTCGTATCGCAATGAACGGACTCTATGGTATTTGCCCCTTGCAGATAGATAATCGCCACTCAGGTATTCCAGGAGCTTTGATCCATTTCGAGTCTTCGTCTTCTCGAGGGTTCTAGGGAGGTGGAAGCTCCATCATTTTCGGTAGCATTAGCCAGAGCCGCGCCCAGAGCCCAGAAATGTGCGCTCTCTGCACAGCAACACCAACGTATATTTACAGGAGGAACTAATTTGCTCTGATGACTTCCACTTCCGGCTTGTCGTGCGCTAAACGCTGAGCACGACCAACGTGATGCTGTACTTTAATGACCAGAACTTTGGCGTTGCGGCTACTGCCCCTGCGAAGATTTATCGACGGCCGATTCCGTTACGTTCGCTCCCGCGTTCGCGTAATTCGAACGGTCACCCGCATTGCCAGTACATACTTCCCCCTTTTATCGAATGACGGCGTCGGACCGGCAGCTCCCTCGTACGGGACAGGGGAATATCCGCCATATAGCCCCCCGCCGAGTTCCGAGAACCCGCCAAGGTCCCACTGACGGGAACCATGACCAAGAGTCCCCATGTTCGGGAAACCGGCGCGAAATCTCACAGATATGTCTTTCCTGCCACTGGCGTGCCTTGGGTTTCTCAACTCTATACAATTCATCGCAGAACTAGCTGAATGTCGCTCTCCCGTCCACATCAAGTGTGCGCTCCGGCAGACTGACTGACCGATGGATGGACGGACGGACCGACGGGAGCAGCTACCAGTCGCTCGGGCAGCGAGCAGACGAGTACTAGGTGTGTACCAAGTCCCTTGTTCGAGCGTTTCCAGACTCAATGTGTTTGACATTGGTACGAGAGCGAGTTTTGTCACGCAGCCAATTTCTCTCGGCACCGAGCGACCGGTGTACGCTGCTTGTAGCCCTAGCAACAGAAGAAGAAGACCATCGATCTGCGAGCGATGCTTCAGTCTACAGGGGCCAGGTCCCGATCTCGGAAGATTATCTTATGGAGACGGGAACCGTGACATTGCTTCGGGATTCCCGGCGAAACAAAGTTAGAATCGCGAGTCGTGTCCTCAATAACTCTCCGTGTTACTCGTGTCACAACACGCTAGAGCTCACAACCAGCCGCGGTATCCCCGGTGGCATTGCATAACTCGGCAGGAATGATCACGATCGAACGGTCTGCTTCAAGGTCTTCCCCCTTTTCCCTTTCGACGGACCTTCCTGGTGAGCCTCGACAGCACCGGACCAGCTGATTGCATTCTGCGCCGGATATACCGATCGTCTTACTACTCGGGATCGCGGGGCGCAGACGTCCTAGACGCTGTGCAAACACCTTCACTAATTTCCTACGTAGACACAGCGGGGCTCAATGAGGATAAAGTGTCGTATGAACATACCTGATCGCTCCATCCCTGTCCGTATCTCCATTGCGTGGCGTAGAACTCGGCATTCCTAGTTAAGAAGTTGTACTCGACTTTTTGGTTGAGTTTCTCGACCGCACGCTGTACGATCTGCTCCTTGTCCAGGGGCTTCATACCGCGTTCTTTGGCACGGACATACTTATTGTTGACGCGGACCCCGGAGCAGCCGGCGAGCTCGATCAGTGGGCACTTCTTTATCAGTGCCCACTCGGTGGGAATGTCTTCATCGTTGGGTCCGACGACGTGAACTACGCGACCGTCTCCAACGTAGACAGCCCAATGAGCATAGAGTGTGCGATCGATTTCAATCAGATCCCCAACAGCAGGTGACAGGTCGGCTGCGGACACAAATTGTCCTAAACCAAACGGAACGGGTTCACTGTATGGCATAGTGGCAAAACACTTCTTGTCTTCCTTGCGGCGGCGTACCGAGCAATCAGATTAGCGACGATCCCGAGGGGGTTGACGGGCAGCCAATTGACCGAATGAACGAACGAAAAGAGGAACTAATGGAACGAAAATGTCGCAGATGCGAGCTTAACAACAGAGACGACTGCGGCGATGGTGGTGATAGCGCGGCGGCGGCGGCGGCGAAAAAACTGCCTAACGCTAACACGGCTGTTCACTTGTTGACTGTGTTCCGAACTGAATTCCTCACCGTTCGGGGCCCGAAAGGCCTAGTCTCTGGGAGAGAGTTGTCAAGCAAGAGGCAGAAGCAACGGTGGCTCCACCGAGGGAAGGGCAACAGCGCTCACAGCGCCGCGTGTGTATAGCTCACGAATTAATGTTTCCTACTAGTGGAAGATTCCTCAATCCACGTCGAAGAGATCGTGGAAGGGGGATGAATGGACAAGATACCATCGAACACATGGAGGCCACAGAGCCAGAGTAAAGGGAGAAGGCACTGATTAACGTATCGCAGTCCCGGGCTCCTCGGAAGGCGCTACTGTGGCGAGCTCTATACTCGACAGACTGATCTTAGTAGTTTGTAGCTGAGTGAGTTATTCACAGGGGTGTAAGACAGCAAAAGCCAGCTGGATCGTGGAGACTTCCACAGACGTCTCATAGGGCGCTTACAAATGCGGGCGGCCTCAAGGTCGCTCTCGGACTTGTGTTTGTTGTTGCTCATTGAGCTGAGAATTCCATACGCGCCTCCCTGATTAATCCACGGCTTGATCGAGGATAAACCTACGAGCTTAGGGTTAAATCGAATCTAGCTTCTCATTAGCGTTCCTTATTAGGTCTCAAAGCTGGTGGAAGATCAGGCATTTGGTCGACGTCGATCAGCGTCATTCGGAAGCTTCGAGAAGGTGCTGACCTGTGGAATCGCTAGAAATTCGATCACTCGGTGGAAGCGGAGAAGAGCGTGCCTTGGCTCCGGACCACGAGGAGACCTAGAGTGACCGATTCGAGAATGCCTCGGATTAGTCGGAGAAGATTCAAAAGATTTCAATAGCCTGGGGATGTCGGTGGATTAGGCTAGGTGCTCCTCGAACTTGAAACAGTTTTAGGGCTCAGACCGGCTCTCGGCGTGCCGCGCTAAACTTACGGAATATTTCACTACCGCGCCATACATTCTGTCATGAAGACCAATGAACAAAGGAATGATCGTTAGACTCGAGGACGAGGGAAGAGGGTATAAGGGGTCGTTCCTGGAAGATTGGAGGGAAACTCCGGGAATCTACTCTTTGTAGCCTTCGCTTCGGAACTCCACTCGATGTTTTCTGAGGCTCTGAACGTGAAGCGAATCGATATTGCGAAAAGATCGCGCGAGCAGGCCGATTTCCTCACCTTTGGCCGCTCACAGTCCCCTCGAATATGACTCCGTACATTCGTTGAATTTCCACATGAGGTTCGCGTCGTCGTTCGGGGTGGATCGTCTCTCTGCATCGACGGCTCGATCTTCTCAGATCATCTCCTGGAGCGTGCTCAACCGTTTCTCGGCTGACAAAGAATCGTTACTGTCGCCAGCGAATGAACCCAACAAGTGTCATCGGCATCGCTGCACGTACTCCAATTCTTTCTACCTTAACTGCAATGGTAATCCTACTCTGAAACCTTTCGCGCTCAGACTCATCTTGAGCGAGTCATTGATTACTCCGGATCCTCCCACGCCTGGAGGATGGTAAAGGCAGTTCCCATCGAGACTTGCAGTGATCGTGTGCAGCACGAGGAACCTGATGGTTCAGCTGCAATGAGGGAGCTCAGGCTTTCGTTCCGATTGCCGAGCTCTCTGAGCAATGTTTTCGGCCGGCACTGGTGACGCTGCCATATCGCGCGGTCATAATATAATTAGGTCGGCCTCGCGCGTCAAAAAAACGCGTAGGGTGAAACTTTTCTCCCGCACGCCTCTCCTGGATCGCGCCAGTCACTCGTGAACTGAGAAGAATGAGAAAAACGACGCACCTCGCTAGATTAGCATCGTAAGATGACATGGACCTGTTATCCGACACCACATGCAATAGTTAGGAATTCGGAGCCAGCTTGCGGGCTCGATCAAACGGTGGAGCAGCAAATAATTTCCGTGGAATTCCCAAATCAGGGTCCGATACTATTCTTTCCGAAAGAGAAACTCGAACAGAGTTATGAAGATCGATGATGTACGAATCTAAAGCGTGATGAAAGATTATTATCAGAATGCCGATGGCGTGACGAGACGCCAGACATCCCGAAAGTTCCGAAGAAGAAACTACTCGAAAATATACTGTGGACACTCAGCCACGGTGTGGAATGTCGGCAGGAATCCGACTAAACTCGTGCACACAATGACGTAGTTCTGAGCGAATTGTTTTTTCGGGATCGACACCGAAAACCGGAGAAATCTGATCCCGCTTCTTGTTGACGAGGAAGAATCTCCGCAATGTCTCAGGAGGGAACGTTGCTTGCTGCCGGGTCAGCGGAAGAGTGATGAGCGACCCCGGGTTCCTGATATCGCTTGGATGGATAGAATCGACTTTCAGAATCGAATAAGACCCGAATAAATGTGACTAATTATTAGAAAGCCTCCGTTTGGGATTCAATCGCTCATTTTCTGGGGCTCCGTCGTGGAACCGGTCAGCACCGGCGCGGAAAACATCCGGTCCCCGCCGCCACGAGTTCCCCCTTCCCTAGTTGCGATCATCGATCCTGGAAGGAATACACTTCGATATCAAATCATCGGATGATCTGGTTCTCTCGATGCCCTATTGCCCGGAAAGCGGAACAAGTGCCCAGGAAGGTCTTCAGAGCGGTTTCCCTCCCGAGTTCCGGCTGACATAGTTCGACGGCAAGAGCTCCTTTTTTATGATCGCCGTAGAATCCTCCGCCCAAGGAAAACACTCATCATCAGCTGAATGGATGCCGAGGTCGCAACTGGAGCGCGACCTTTTCGGCTAGATCCGACCGGGGACTGAGAGTTGCATGGTGGAGGACCCCGAACGGGGATAGCCTCAACTCACCTATCTGACCACATTCGGAACCGCCTCCCTAGTATAGGGCTCCGCAGGCGCCCAGGGGCGTACGCAGGATTTTTTCTTGCAGGGGGGAGCTAAGAATAGTCACGGTGATGATGATGATGGTCATGATCTCAAGAAGGTGAATCTTAGGTACGAATAGTTAGGGACGTAAGTTTTTCGCGCCGACGCGAATGAGTTTGGCCTCGAGCTCGGACACACGGTCGGATCAAGACTCGCCCCGAGGCTCGGGCCTTCGAAGCTTACATGTGTTCGGGAGCAGGTGTCGCCGCGAATTCAGTGCAAATTCTGCGATTTTCCGTGATTTCGAGTGGACTTCGACTCCGTACTAATACATAATCGATCGATGTAACGCTTGATTGAGGGAAACGACGAGAGAGAATTACACAAAGCTCGTGAGTTATTCGTTTTAGGGTGATTTCCGTTACGAAATCTGACTGCAACGGAGAATCTTGGGAGGGGCTTTAGCTCCCTTAGGCCCCCCTGCTCCGTACGCTGCCGCAGGCGCCGGTGCATGAGCGGTTTGATCCAGCAAGCTGCATCCAGCATCGTGAGTCGTGAGAATCGACTGACTCAGTCTGTGAACGATCATTCATAGAAGTCCGATACGCTGTCGCTCTCCCGGTCAAATCGCCCTCCCTCCCCAAAGGTATGACCTCAAGGAGAATTCCTGATACCTCGCCGGCGAAATTTTCCGAGGCCCGTTTTAACCATTATCACTTTTTATTCGCTTTCAATATCGCCTCCAGGTGGCTGATCTCCCGTAGGCGAGCTCTCACGAAGGTGACCTCATCCAATCGGGTATTCATGGTCATTAGATGTGAAGAGATTAGACAACTATGCGACGAGGCACCTCGGACCCCTTTACATGCTCTCGCAGATCTCAGTAGATGCGATCAATGCTGAAAAGTTTCAATGCTCATCTGGATCACCTTGAGCGAAATCAGATCATATGCTGCTCCTGCGGCGTACATCAGCCTCATGGATGATCGTGCCGAGTTGGTCACCGAAGACGTTTTCCGACGATCTCTTGATTCCTCCGGTGATGTTCAGACGGAAAAATGACGGTCAAAATGTGGTTTTGAAATGCGCCACCTGTTTCGTCGGTCCCTTGTCAATGGCCATCATGCGGTCACTCACGACAGGTTGCAAACCGCATGCAAGTTTCATGAACATCAGAATCTCGATGGCAAAGTCCGCGTGAGCGTGAAAGCTAAATACTAATCAGCTGAAGCTGAAGGCGAAAAATTGGCTCGCTGATTCGGCAGTCGGCAGCTCATTGTCCCCAGTGGGATCATCCTCCGGAGAACCTCTGCTGTTTTCGTTTCGTAAACACAATGAGACTCTGATTGCAGCCGTGGAGAGTCATATCTCGGTGACCTTGAATGCAGCGGAATCTGTAAACTCGGTGGAGTACATGAACAACTTGGATTTGCGATAGCAGAGTGGACCTTGACTCGGGAAAACTGCTGGGAAGTGAACTGGGGATGTATTGTATGGCATCCATGAGGATAATCTCGAACCGATTCCATTGCGTGGGTAAGTCTTGTCAATTGATCGAACATATCTTTCATATGCTTCGGACAAACCGATTCCGATACTCCCGAAACTGCCGACAGACATTCGATCCCAAGCGCCCGTCGAATTTCTGACCCCGCCGATGCTGGGGCCTCGAGATTTCATACGGGTCCGCGATTCTTGCGAGTATGAAGTTAAATGTGAGTTTTTGAACCAGAACTTCCGGGAGCGGAGGCTGAGCTGGGGAGGGGGGAGCGAGCCGCGGCACTAGGCGTCAGGGAGCGCAATTTTCGACTTTGATGTCCCGGACAGGGTATTCTTCTCAGCCAAAATTCTCATTTGGGTGAATTTATATTTTACTCAAGGCGGATTCCGAATCATTTTCGAAAATAGTAGATTCCCTTCGAAGCTCCCGGTCGGAGACATCAATTCCGGAATTCGCCCGGACGCTGGGTCGATCAGGAAGACTTCGCCAGGCGGTTTTGCTTCGGAATCCGATCGCCGGGCTCGTCGGATTAAGGAGTCGAGCCTCAAGTCTGATGCAAAAATGAGTGTCTAGATCTTGGACCGCTTAGAGTCGACGTATTGCCCGCTCCTGATAGGGTAGCGATATCGTGGGTATTTTTGGCTGGAACGCGTTGCGTTTGTCGGTGGAAAGTTTGAAAACCAAC